AGTTTCTAACTTCAAGGTGCCTTGCCACTCAATGGAATTTCAGTCCCAGGTTAGGTGCCTTGGTTCCCGATACAATGAATGGGGAGGTTGGGTGCCTAAGAATAAGATCCATAAAAGCCAGAACACTGACCCACCCACTGTGAGGGGTGTGACCCAAGCACTGCCCCTCTCCAGAAGTTAGGTGCCTATCTCTCCTTGGGATTCTCAGGTGGAGTTAAGTGTTTACACTATTTTTGGAAGAATTGCTGGAATGGGTGGGAGAAGGATGTAGCCTCCCTTATGATGTTTAGCTCAGTGGTCAGGGTACTCACCTGGGATGTGGGAGACCTGGGCACAATTTCCACCCCTTGCCTGATTTGGAGCAGGGATTTGAATTTGGGTTTCCCACCTCTCAGGCAAGTGCCCTAGCCCCTGGCCTATAGATGTATTCTTTCACTCTCTTTGGCCCAGTGCATATTTAATTATTTATAGACAGTGGAACAGCTTCAACATGAGAGACCCCACCATAATATCCTATTGCCCAGGGCGCTCCCCTGGGGGTGGGAAACCCAAGGTCAAATGCCTGCTCCACATTAACCAAGGGAAGAGGAGGGGAGCAGGGGGGAATTGAACCTGGGTCTCCCACATCCCAGATGAGTGCTCTAATCACCAGGTTCAAGGAAGATTGCTCCTGCCAGCACTTCCTCCTCCCTGGCTGTTTTGCTTGAGTTTTAGATGTACTCTAAGAACACTTATCAGATCAGGCCATGAAGGCAAGACAGCTAAGAGAATGCCTTGTGTGAGGATGTTGCTGGTCTTAAGCGGCTGGGTGCTTAGACTGAGGTGGGTGTGCACATGCTCACTGGCAGAAACTTAGGCACCTCTGTGTTTAGGTGGCAGCTCAGCACAGGTTTTGAGGATCTTAGTGGCACTTAAATTTTGGAGTTCTGCATAACTGCCACTTTAGGTGCATAAGTCCCTTTGTGGATCTGGCCGTAAGGCACTGATTCAGTAATGCACTTGAGCGTGCTCTTAGGTTTAAACGCATGAGTAGACCCATTGACTACCCAAATACGCTTCAATGCTTCTACTGATGTACTGAAAGCTAAACAGGTGTTTAAGTACTTTTCTTAATTTGGGACCTCACTGTGTGGCATCTGCTGGCAAATCTTTACTTTTTAATGCCAACTACAATATGCCTCTTAAAATGGCAGTGCAAATTTTCCTTTCCATACCATCAGTGTATCCCAGGCTAAAGTAGGACATCCTTTAGGTCTGAGCGGTAGTTGTGTGTGTATATATTCATTCTAGGCATGCCCTTACTGAGGAGACTAACAACTAGTTTGCACTTTACTGTCAATTGCAGTTGTTGGGTTTTTTTTGGCATTTGCCACTGTTGACTAGATTGAAGACTAAGGCCACTCCATCTGACTTCACATGTAATAGTGACAAGATGGCAAAAAATATTCTTTTCCCCTTTTTAAGCCTTTGTAGGTGGTTGGTAATATATGAGAGAAATAGATCATAGCTTGGATTATCATAGCTTTTTCTCACTTTTTGGCAGTGTGCGATTTTTTTTTGTCCTTGCAAGTAATCGCAATGAAGATGAGAGGCAAGGTGAGCCATATCTGGGGTCTGATTCACTGAACTCTAGAGGAATCTATTCATAGGGAGGGTGGGAAATCTTCTTGTTAAGAGCACTGTTACTGTATCAAAGTGTAACAGTGAAATACATTTAATTAAATAAAACAGGGCTATGGGAATGATTCTCTTTTTATCTCATTTAAGAGTTTCTCTCCCCCCCCCCCCGCGACCTTTCTTCTGTTTTCTCCCTAAAGTGCTTATCTATGGAAACAGCAATTTTGGCCCATGGCGATGGAGTGGCTAGGAAGTGGGTTAGGATTTCATTTTTAGTTTGAAATGCTTCCAGCCATGAACTCTGTTTGTAGCCAGAATCAGTCCACCAGTAAAATAGTACTTGGTGAAAGTTTTAAAAAAAAGTTTGAATTTACACCCGTCTCCCCCAGCCAGCCATCCACACACATTGAAGAGTAGGGCTCCTCTGGGCCGGAGTTCTTGGGTGCTTTGATAGAACGGACATGTTGTTCTCAAGGTTGTGTTATTGAGGGGAGATTAATAAAACCTGTGAAAGAATGTTGGCAAGTGAAGGACTGTGGTAAGAAATTCTCTCTCACAGCTCTGTGATCTGCCCATGTTTCAAGCCTGTATTACTCTTTGTATTATTTTTTATGTTTTCTTCTGAAGAAATAAATCTCTTTTCTCAGCAGCAAGTTAGCAAATCTGTATCCTATATTTGTAATTTAAGGGATACAGTGGTCCAGGTTAGTAGATTAGCAATTCCTTAACTGGCGTAGCAAGTAATGTTCCATAACTGATCTTACATTCCTCTTTTCAAATTGAGCATCTCAAACTTTGATAGTATTTTGTGCTAATCAAGGGCAATAAGGTATTTATTGATGATTACATGTTCTGTTCATTCCCTCTGGGGCACCTGGCATTGGCCACTGTCAGAAGACAGGATACTGGGCTAGATGGACCTTTAGTCTGGCCCAGTATGGCCATTCTTATGTATTTCTAAGCCTTTACTAAAAACTTACTGAATTAATCTATGACATTCAAATCAATGAACTCCTTATTCAAAATTGAAAGAAATGAAATCAGAGAATATCAGGGTTGGAAGGGACCTCAGGAGGTCATCTAGTTCAACCCCCTGCTCAAAGCAGGACCAATCCCCAATTTTTGCCCCAAATGGCCCCCTCAAGGATTGAACTCACAGCCCTGGGTTTAGCAGGCCAATGCTCAAATAAGGGTATGTAAAAGAATGTTCCCAGAGAGCTTAGTAATAGCTAACAGCGCTCTTCTCCATAAATATATGTCAAAGTATATTCTTTAATGAATAATCATCTTAAATGGAGTGCTCTTTTGCCTAAGATAATACGTTATTGTGCTTAGGAGAATGAATGGGATAATGGAGAATATGAGAGAAAGTCAGATTAGAAATATGAATACATCTCTTACCAGAGTGAAAACAAAAGGACTACTTGTGGCACCTTAGAGACTTAACAAATTTATTTGAGCATAAGCATCCGATGAAGTGGGCTGTAGCTCACGAAAGCTTATGCTCAAATAAATTTGTTAGTCTCTAAGGTGCCACAAGTCCTCCTTTTCTTTTTGTGAATACAGACTAACACGGCTGCTACTCTGAAACTTACCAGAGTGGACGCCCAAATGGCTGCATAAACAGCATGGAAACATTCAGAGATGCCCTGTAGTATGATGACAGGCCATAACTTCATGGGTAGAGTGGGAAAGCAAGTATTATTTTCATAGACCATTGGTATTTCTGCCTTTTCGGTACACTTATTGAGTACAATATTCTTCATCATAACAGTCACTAGTACAAAACATTGAGGAACTAAGGATTAAAGTGTTTCAGAGTAGCATATTGTTTTAACAGTCCTTCAGTTAGCATCCCAATAGCATGTTTATGTAAATTATATACAGAGGTTGTTGCTAAGGACTTATCATACATTTTGAATGGGAAATCCATTTAATAGGGTCTTGAGTTTAAAGCACAGAACTGAAAATCAGAAGACAGGGATTCTAGTACCAGTTCTGACACAGCCTTTCTGTGTGACCTTCGGTAAGTCACTAGGTTTCCTGGTTTGTAAAATAGAGACAATAATGGTTCTCTTATTCCTGGGAGTGCAGGAAGGCTGAGCTAAATGAGGTTTACAAAGCATGCTGAAATCCTGTGATAAAAGATGCAAAGTGTAGTTTTATTAATAAAATTTCCTCTGCTAAATTGGAGATTAAAGTTTAGTTTTAGTGAAAATAATCACAAGTATGGTAAAGTTAGTAAAGGTGTATAATTAATGAGGCCTAATTTGGAGGCTGTAATCAATGAAGCTGCTGTTAGAAATAGGTTCTGTATGTTGTTAGTAGTGTCTTGAAAATGTTCATAACTATATGTCCTTTCCAAATAAATAGTGATTAACAAACGCTATATATTCCTGAGTTCAGGATCAGTTGAAAGTTGACTCTGCAAAATTAGTTTGGAAATCTCCCAAGAACAGGCTTTCTTTATTTAAAAACTTTTAAAATGTTGTATTGTTTTACGTGAGAGTTTGTTTTAAAAACTTGCCATTTAACATTATTACGGTTTAATCTTTATTTTTCATAATTTCCCATTCTAAGCATAGGGAGTACTGTGTAAAAAAGAAAAAAAAATGCTGGAAGTGCCACCTACTCTTATGGACCAATACTGTGATTTACCTGAGTACACTATATATCCTGTTCAGAGTGAACAATGGAAGGGGGTCCAAATTTAACAAGCCAAGGAATCAAAGACAAATGGAGAGGGCCTGACAAGGCATCCAACTCAATGGGAGTGTTGCTGGTGAAGTCCGTGAGAGCAGAATTGAGCCTTGGGGGAGGGGGAAAATAATAAACACTAAAAAAAATTCCTTTGAAATGTTGATTTCTGAATTATAGGGCCACAGAGATAAGGCATTTTGTCTTTTTCCTTTTTTCTTCCAAATGTTCTGATTTTCCCATTTTATCTTAAGTAGAGGCTTGCTGGGTATGGTCTGTCTTTACCAGGAAGGGCAGTTTGTGGAAAGATTCAGTGTGTGACTGGGATTTTGATTGATTTTTAGTGGGATTTGTGGGTGCCCAGCACTCCTGAAAATCAGGTCACTTTCACTTAGGTGCACAAATATGGATTTAGGAGCTGAAAGTTAGGCCTTCAAATTTGGAAATGTTGGCTTCTGTTCTAAAAGATACTGGGCCACTCTTTGTGTGTGTTTTATTTAGTTGTACATGTTTACTCATTTCTAATAGTAATCTATTTTTTTAATTTATAAAACATCCTCCTATTGCACATGAGGCTTCCAAGGCACTGAATGGACAGTTAAAGACACTCAGGTGAATAGAAGTATTAACTTTCAGTCCTCCTTTGTCTGAATTCAAGTGAATTGCTTTTTTGTTTTGTATTTTAGCATTTTCAGACCATGTTGAAGACCAAGTTGAATGTCCTAACTCTTCGGAAAGAGCCTCTTCCTACAGTGATCTTCCATGAGCCAGAAGCCATTGAGCTGTGCACCACAACTCCATTAATGAAGACCCGGGCCCATACTGGATGCAAGGTATTTGAAAAATCAAAACCCCCAAGGCTCAAGACAACTGTGGAATTGTTCCACACGTATAAGAGGAAAGTGGGAAAAAATTCATTTTGTTATCTTGGAAACCTCATTAAATAATGCTAATACTGTGAGGTTTATAAATCAAAAGAATCTTTGGGCTTTTTTTAATTAACATTCTGCTCCTTAATAAATGAGGTTCTCATGCATAGAGAATGAAATCCCAAAGTAGTTTTGCAATCCTGGCAATAAATTGCACTTGGATCCTGGCTTCCAAAATTGCTTATTATACTCAATATGTAAGTGTTTTAGTGATGGTGTCATTTCACCTGGGCTAATTTAAACATGATTATCGGTACTAACACTGAGATGAAAGATGAGGTTCCCAGGCCTAAGCACCCTGTTTAGTAATCCTTACTAACATACATATATGCCCATTGAAATGGCTTTGCAGGATCAGGCTTGAGATCATATTTAAAAATAAAGAATTAGACCTTGAATCAATTAACCAGCAAGATGACTTTGTCCAATTGCAGCAAACTACAGCTCCTGAAAAAGTGTATTTATTCTCTAAACTGCTTAAGCGCATAAAGTACTTTCTCTACTGTGACTATTTAACAACAGTGAACAGATCTGCCTGTCTGTCTGGGTATATCTGTCTAATTTAGTTACAAAACTAAGTTAGCCCAGTGGAGCCACAGATGTTAGGGGAGATTGAGCTGGATTCTCATTTGGCTTGTACATCATCAACAGGATTGTTAGCTAAGTTCCAGTTGCTGAGCCAGATACATACCTGAGCCCAAAGGTAGTGAGAGAACAGTTCTTTTAGTCTTGGGCATCACTTGCTGTGCAAGATGCCAGCTGTAAAATAAAACCCTTTCTGATGTCACAGTGGTAGGTGAAATAGAAATTTCAAGTTACAAGTAAAACTTACAAGACCTTTTGTGCCTGTTGTTTCTGGTAATAGCCATTGAGATATTGCCATTTGGTAGAAGTGTGGAGGGAGAGGTTGCTTGATGGTGGTTTCCTATGCTTTTCACAGCATTCTCAGTAGGTAAAGGAAATGAGTTGTGGGTACATTATGAAATGCTTTACAGTGTTAGGCTGTTTTTTTCCTGGAATGTCGGTCACCAGGATTTTATGAGCAAACCTTTGTTCTCGGAAGTTTGACTTTCTTGTGGCTCTTTGCTGCGAGTGCAGCTGAGAAGAGCTCATGTTCAGTGTCAAGTGCCATTGCTGCATTGTGTTGATACAGTAGAACACAAGCCAAATGAGCCCTACGCAATATTATAAGTCATTCCTACTGCCAGAGGTTTCCCTAATGATGTCTTTTGTCCTTTGTGTTGATACATAATGAAATTTGGGGAACATCAGTAGTTAATAGTACGGACTGTGGAGGGTCTGGCTTTCACATTTTGTGTGATGGGCTTTGGCTTAACAACACTTTCTGAAAGGAAATTTAACTCTGCCTCTGAGAGTATGATTGTAGAGTTCAAATCAGAGAGTGCTATTGGACTCATCCTGCAGTTCTTTAACAAATGAAAGCTCTTCTTTAACAAGTGACGCGTGTTGCAGAATGAGTCGGAATCTATAGCAGTCAGAATCCTATTCCATACTTAGCTTTTTATGTATTTCTGTGAAAAAGCATCCTATCAGCTACCACTATATACATATCTTCTTCCCCTACTTGTCAGTGGCAACAACTGTATGTCATGCAGTGTTGTAGTCCATCTCCTTGCCAGAATTGCTGCCTACAGTGTAGTTTCCAGTGCTTTGTTGAGTTAGTCTCAAACGACTCAAGAGATGAGGCTTCTAGTACCTTTCCTGGGAGACCATTCCGTATTTGCATTGCTCTCATGGTTAAGAAGTTTTCCTCAGTTATTAACCCGATTTTTCCCTTTCCCTATTTTACCTCATTGCTACATTTATTTATCCTTCTCTTCAAATATTTGTAGCTGGTTTGGCTTCCTCTCCCCTTGATGCTCAACGCTCCTCGCCCCACCCCCACCCCCGCAGCACTTCAGTGACTAATTCATTTTTACTTCTTCAGGTAACTTTTTCAATAGCAATTACTGTTTTTCTTTTGCCTTTTGGTTAGATCCACCAAAAGACCTAGATGAGTAATAAAAAAACATAGCAAATAGAGTTGGGCAAATACTATGTGACTATCTGCTGGATGAATAATTTAGGGAAAATTTAATTGCATAATTTTTTCAAAAGTTTGTGAAATTTAGCCAAATTATTCAGCAAATGTTATTCAGGCAGCTTTACCCTCCCACAGTTTCCCTCCACCATCCAGCTTTAGACTGTTGAGTAAATTTGCTCGCTAGATTGGTTCCTGAAAAGAGTGTTCACCCAGCCTTTAAAAACCATCAGAGTGCCTCCCATGTCTGCATTTCCTTAATCTGTATACCTAGGCTTGCCTTTTTCCAATCTTATCCTATCATTCTAGGCTCAACAACATGACTCCACCAAGCAAACACACACTTACACAAACAAACAAGATATAATTTACATTCGATTTTGCAGCACAGAACTGCAGTTATTCCACATTCAAAATTCTAACGGTCATAGTCTCTCAGTGCAATAGTAACTTACTCAAGGGCACAAGTTCCAGCTCCTTCTTGCTATCCCGGCCCTTCTTTTCTTTACTCTCTTTCTTTGAAATTCCTGACATACAGGCAAGAGCACTGCTGCAGTCTCAGGATTTCAAGACTGAACAACACCTCAGATGCCATTGCAGTCTTTGCTTGTGATTTCATATAGTTCATAATGCAGGCCAGCGTAGCCGAAACTTCTTGGGTAGTGTGTGCTGTCAAAGATTCCAATATATTTCTTAAAGATGAACAGACTAATTTATGAGAGAGGTGAGGTCAGAGCCCAGAGTGGAAGCTTGGGTTCTACTTCTACTGCTGACACTGCTTACAGTCTTGGGCAGGACACTCGGGTCTTGATCCTGCCCACTGCTGAGACCCCTTATCTGTCAAGAAAGTCAACAACATGGGTGCCAACAAGATTGGATGCTGCTTTTTTCAGCAATACTATGCGGTTTAATGTAGTTAATGTTTGTAGACAGTGACAAAAGAAAAGTGTTTTAGCATTTTGGTCACAACAATAGTAGCTGTTTTCAAGAGAGAAACAAAACACCTTGGTTAATCAGGGACCTGTACATAGAAAGTCACTATTTGAGTTAAACCCTAATATAGCTGGGAAGGGGAGGAGAATGCTAAGAATATATGTTTTATTGTTTCCAGCTCACTTGTTGGGCGAGATTTTTAATCATGGGTTTCTAAATTGCTCCTACCAAAAATTAAATACATATCTTTTTGTATGTGCATGAGTGCAATTTAGATCCCCACATATGAATATTGGGCTCCCCCTTGTTCATATGCTGAGGATTTAGATTTGACTGTGGTTATCTGACTTGTAGCTCTTTGATTATTAATTGTGATGCACTCTTGTGTTTTCAAGTGGAAACTTCCTCTCCTTTCAGCACAACACTAAGTACTGTAGCATCAGGTTGAGATTGGAAACCTGGACCGCTTCTCGAAAGTAGGTTGCTCAAAATGGTCGCTTCTCAAAAGTAGCTGCTTCTACTGTCCCTTTTTTAAAGCTTTATCCTTATCCTTTGAAGAATAATCAAATATTATATTACTTTATGCAGATTTCAAGGCTCCTCGTTTTCTATCTCTTAAAGCTGTGGAGGCATTACAAGGGATTTTATGTATTCTGTTGCTGCTTTTCCAGGCATTGTTACTGTAATGCAAAATGACAGAGGTTAAAAATGTTGCCTTGTAACTTGTGAAGTGGTGTCATTGGTTGAACATTTGTATTAAATGATAAGACTCTTCAATGTGAAGTCTGTATTGAAGAGTCAGTGACCAGAGTCAGTAGTGGTTTCATTCAAATGTAGTGACCCTTATTCTTGGATTGACCAGGGGGTCTCGATTAGAGCAGCATGAGCCTAGCAAGGAATATTATTCATCAAAGCTGATTTGCTATAGTTTAGGTACAACTCATTCCTTTCCTAGGGATAAGCTCTTGTTAAATGGCAACATAAATTTCCATGATACAGCATTTTTAGGTATGATACATTGCCTGTGGTTTTTCTTTTATATTCAGTTGGGAAGATTATTACATTCAAGCTCTTTGCTCATCTCTGTTGGACATGTAATATTAACATTTCTGAAATGACTAATGTGAGCTTAATGCTTTTAAAGTTCTTTTCAAATAAGATGGCAGGTAACTTGCATAGGTGGCATTAGTGAGATAATGATGTTTTAAAACCAAATCTGACTCATACTGTTACAGATGAAAAATTAAGAATTAATGGAAGCAGGTATAATTTATACCTGTTATTCTGGAGTTGTGAAAAAATATTTTCACCAGCAGTAGAAAGGACCTAATCCTGTGTCTGGACTTCCTAAATGGTAGTGGTTAGTGGAGTTTGTGTTCTGTGCACGCTGGGGGTCCTTGCCCACAATTGGAACTTCTAGGTGCTTCTGTAATATACATTATACTAATAATCTTCTGTACTTGATGTGTGGTATGGCTTTATGGAATATTGAAGACCCTGGGCCAAATCCTTCTCTTCATTAAACCTGTGTTAGTTCATTAACTTTATTGGAGTTACTTCAAATTTAACTAGCATGACATAAATGAGAATTTGACCCACAATGCAAAAATCCATAATTAATTTCTAGAGTTAATAGTCAGTGATTTGCTCTCATGCCTCAAAAATAATGATCTGATGATGTCCCACACAAATAAGAAAATCCTCATTGGGATACTTGTAAAATAGGTGTCCTAAATTTGCCCCCTGGGCCTGATTCTGATCTCCTTTCCTGGGAGACATTATTCAAGAAATAATGCCTGTGAAGTCAGTGGAATTGCACCAATTTGAAAGCTGGGTTAACTAAGAGGATGCGCAGGAACAGACAAAAGCTTAGAATCCTAGAGTAATACATAATTCCTAAATTAAATAATAATAATAATAATTATTTTAT